AAATCTTTAAAATTCAATTTTTATAAAGAATTTTATTAGATTGGATTACTTTTTAATACTTAAATTGTTTAAAAAAAGTGATTAAAATTATTACGCATTTGATAAATTTTGTCACCTTTAGTATACTTCATATAATAAACTTCCAATTTTCGCATCATATTTAATAAATTAAATTTACAAATACTATATTTATTTTCCACACAAATTATATATAAATTTTATTATAAAATACGTGATTGTAAATACACTCAAGAATGGATTCTCAAGAAGAATATAGCTCAAGCTTTCAAAAAAGTATATATACTGATGAAAGTGATAGCGAAAATAATAGCAATGATACGTTCTCTACTACGAGCACGACAACTAATACTAGTACTAAGAAAAAAAGAAACAAAGGCAGAAAAAGCTTTGTGTGGAAATATTTCAAAAAAATTGGAAATAAAGATATTTGTGATGTTGAAATAAAAAAAAATGGCAAAGACCAAAAATGTGGAACAGAATATACTCATGATGGTTCAACGTCGAATATGATTGCTCACCTAAAATCAGCGCATAATATTGTGGACAGCAAAAAACTAAAACCCAAAGTACAAAAAAATCGACAAACCACAATATCAGAGTCAATTCAATTAAATACTCTATATAAAGACGATAAACTAAAAGAAATAAATAGAGCAGTTATTGAATGGATACTTATTGATAATAAACCATTATCAGCACTAAGAAAAAAGGGATTCTGCCACATGATAGCAAAAATTGATCCAAAATTTCGTCTACCTTCTGATAGAGTAGTAAGAAATGAAATATCATTATATTATTTTAAAAATATTGAGGTTTTTCGGCATGAGATTTTATCATCTTGCGAGACAGCTACAGTAACAACTGACTTATGGACTTCATATAATAAACAAGGCTACATTGGAGTTACTTGTCACTGGGTAACCCCCGACTGGTCATTGCATAGTATATTATTGTGTTGTGAAAAAATGCCGTACCCGCATACTGCAGAACCTATTTATCAGTTTCTTCAAAAAAAATGCTTAGAATTAAATTTAGAAAGTAAAATTACATGCGCTATTACTGATAATAGCGCCAACATGGTAAAAGCTATCCGATTATAGAATAATGTTAACTGGCTGCCGTGTGCTGCGCACACTCTGCAGCTAACAGTTAATTATGCTTTAAAAAAAATTCGTTCACAAACAAAAAAAATAAGAAAATTAGTTTATTTTTTTGACTTGTCAAAACAACAAGAAAGATTA